CCGAGCCAGGTCGCCCGAACGGGTGCTGACGCCGCTCAGGGGCATCTTGGGCACGCGCTCTGTCGGGAAGCCCGCGATGAAGCTGTGGCGCAGGTAGCCCGCGCGGTCGATGTCGATGTTGCGCACCGTGTCGTCGTAGGTCCCAGCAAGGACCGAGAGGAAGTGGAAGTGCTCCGAGGCTCCCTTCATTGGATTGCGCGGGTACTGCAGGCTGCCATCTGCGACTCCAGGAGACTGTCTTCCTGCCTGGCCGCGCCGATGGGGGCCACGTCCTGCCCCGGGTTGGCCAGCAAGTGGATCTTAGAGCCCGCGTCGTTGTCCCAGAAGGTTACGAACGCTCCCATCAGTTTCGTGAAGGCGCGCGCGACGGTGACGTTGTGCTCCGCCACTGCGGCAAGATGCTGCCGCCGCAGCTGAACCTGGTGATAGAAATGCGCTGTGGTCCGAGAACGCCGGGGCGCACGTGGGCGCAGGAGCAGCAGGACTCGCGGCGGTGCAGGCCTTCCGCCCCGCCCAGGGCCGCAGCCGCAGCCACCTCCGCAGATCATCGGACGACCCGACGACATAGAGCGCCTCCTGGACGAGGCGGGGCAGCGCGCGCAGGAGGTGGAGCGCGGCGCAGCGCAGGCGCCGTCGCCGCAAAGGGCGTGGGCGGGGCCTTCGGGTACCTGGGAGGCCTGGCAGAAGGAGCAGCAGCCCTCGCACCCACAGCGGGCGAGGTTGCTGGAACGCTGGCTGCCACGGCAGGAGTCGGCAGCGGCAACGGCAGGTTTGGCCGTGGGACTCGCAGGCGGCGCAGCCTACGGTCTCGCGCGCGGCACGGGCGCACTTTTTCGACCCAAAAGCGAGCGGTGACAAAGCGGGGACGAACGGTGACAAGCTCGGCGGGATGGAATTTGCCTGCTTTTCCGGGCAGAAAACGGAATCCAGAGCACGGCAAGCGTCGAAAACGAGCGAATTTGGAGGCTCAGGCAGCACATTTGACGTCTGACACGAAAAAACGAACTTTTCGGAGTTGGCCGTTTTGAGCGCTTTTTGCACCAAAAACGGAGCGGTGACGAAGCGGTGACATCGCTGGTGACAAGTTCAGCTGGTTGAAAATTATGCAGTTTTGCAGGGTTTTTGGACCAAAAAACCAAAATAATTAGGTTACTATAGGCCCCCTTTCCTTACTACTGTAGACGCCTCACCCACATCGGTACGCCGCGTTCAGGTTCTCAGCTCCTGTTCCTGGAGCTCTTCAAATGTGGCACCGCCCGGACTGCAGATGGACGATGCCACCATGCTTAGCTCGCTGATTGAGATCGATGAGAGTCAGGCCGGTGATGTTCCGGGCACCTGCTCCACTTCCCTGGCTGAGCGCAAAGCGAAAATTTCAGTTTCAACGACACGCTGGGCTGAGTGCTGTCTACGACCGGGGGGAGCCGCCAAGCTACTTCATGTACAGGAACGATGGAGGACGTTTGCCTGCGCTGAGTATGGTCCAAGCACGGTCCTGCCAGCTTTTGAGTTTGTTGGCCATGGACTCTCTTGGCTTGGGTGACTTGGTGGAGCGCAACAATGCACCAGTCGGGATGCACTTGATGGTCTCCGGGACGCATGGTAATGTGTGTATGTGCTTTTCAGTTGGTGTTGAACTCATTGAACCTTTTGATGGTGCTCCCGCCTCTTTTCGCGGATTTTCGGGCTTGGTTGCTTTCTCTGGTTTGCCCTGCTGGGCCTTTATTGTCACACCTTCTGGGCGGGCTGCTTGTCCACCTTTTTCACCTTTTGGCACCGTTTTACGGGACCTACGGCGGCCGCTTTCTCGCTTCGGCGGGTGGCCGGTCGGTAGTGGGCACATCGCCTTTGGGCCGCCAATTGCAGCGATGGAGGTGATGGTCGTTTGCAGTGAGTGCTGACCTTTGGCTGACCTAGGGGTGTGACAACCTTCCTTCTTTCAGTTTTATTGTTTGATTTCGCTCGATATTCTGCACTTCCTGGATGCTTCAGGTGATGTACTCATGGGGATTGCCCGTGCATGCCTTCTCCTGGCTAGTCTGCCAGTATTTCCGCATGCTTTGGAGCGCGCTCTGCCCTGCATATGTCCATTATCGGTCCATGACTTGCCGCGTGCGTGTCACGGTCGCATCTACGAACAAATTTTCTATTTCCATGGTCGGCTATACTGTTCGTGGAATTTGCCGTGGGGTACGGCAACGTGTGCTGCTCATTTGGGATGCACTGTCCTTTCGTATTTCAGCTATGCGATGACTCTATGTTTTCATAATTCGCGGCTTGCGGTACTTCCATCTCGTTGCATGATTTGTACAGGTTTCACTTTTTGGCTCGTCTCGTCGGTGTTTCCGTTTGCTTGTTGCTTGCTTGTCGGTTTCGGTGTTTCTCTCTTGTTGATGTTCGGGCCTGGGCATTTTTTGAGGCATACGCACCTCTCGCTATGCCCTTACCTGTACTCTTTTGCTGCTGTTTCATCCTTTTCACACGGAGTTGCTTAATGCAGACGTGCGCTCGACGCGGATCGCTGCTAAGGGGCAAAATGCAGCTTGCCCTTTCCTGACCACAGACCCCGGTCTGCTGGTTGGGCGTGGGCACGCTTGCACGCCATGCACGCACTGCACACATTTGCAAGGACGCGCGTTGTCTTGGGGGTCAACGCACCTCCTGCTCCAGGCGCACCCGTGCCCTGGAAGCAGTGCCACTTTCAGCAATCCCGGTAAAAAGAACTGCGGCCGCTTCGGACTTGCCTTGTTCTTTTGGGTGGTCTTGTTTGGGTTTAAGCTAGGAGCAGTGCAACTTGCCTTAACGGAAGAGGACCAATTCGGTCCGGATGTTGCCAACAGGCAACGTGTATCACATGCGCGAGAAGTGTCCCCACTACAAGAGTGGGAGACAGGTGCACAAGTGTCTCAAGTGCAGCGGATATGAAGGCAGCATGTGAGGATTGTTCTTGTGTTCAGTCATATCCGCATGCAAAGCATGATGAAAGCATGACGAACATGCACCGCAATCGGAGGCTCTAATAGCCACAGGAAAAGAGCTGCCATTCGCTCGACAAGTTGGGTTGGCTTTGTGGCTTCTTGTTGGCTTCTGGTTGGCTTCTGGCTTCGGTTGCTGGCTTCTGGTGGCTTCTGGTTGGCTTGGACAACCTTTTCCTCTTTTTTAGCTTGCATTGCAGAAACGGGACAAATTGCAAGCATATTGAGGGGTTGTTATAGTGCATCCTGCTGCATTTCAGCATTCAGGACGCTCGCAGGACGAGGTCATTTCCTGGACGGACGAGGTGAGAAGCCCCATAGGTGCGTTACAACTCGTTTGGAGAATCCCCTCTTCAGAGAGAGACACGGAAACACAAGTGTAAATCTGTGCATAGACGTTTTGGTTGAGTTGCCTATTCCTCTTCCGTCCACGGGACGTGCAGACACTTGTTGGAACGTTTCACCTCTTGGATGCCGGGGTGGTTTCCCTTTTTGCTTTGTAGATTGATTTTTCACGTAGGCTCATCGAACTTGTTTCACTCGAACAAGGGCATGCAGTCATAGAAAGAGCGTGGAGAAAAGTTGTGATGGTAGCGGAGCACTGACCGACCAGTGGAAGTGCTTAGAGTAGGTTGCCCCACACGTGCGGACAAACAACAAGCGAGCAAACACACACACCGCGGTGTAATGGCTTTCTCAGCTCCAAAGCTGGAGTTTTCGAAGAAGGTGATACTTTCCTCACTGGCAGTGTGCAATCTTTTGCTTTGCGTTTTTGCTTTGGCATCATGGACGGGCAACAATTTGCCGCTGTTTTGGAAGGTATGCGACAATCAACAACAACGCGGCAAGGCATTCAGCACGCATGAAGTTAAGTCGATCATGCATGTTGACTTAGTTCATCCCAGAACTTCTTTGAGCAACACCAGAAGAAGGAAGCTGAGCGTTTTTCTGCATCAGTCGAATCTTTTTCTTGCATGTATTTTTGAGGCTTGAAGCAGTGAACAGGTTTCTATCGCTTAGGAATTTTTGTATCCGTTGTGTTTTAAGCCTCTTTCAATCTTCGGCCGCGTTGTCATTTCTGCTTCAAGCCTAAACGACATGTTTTAGGTGTCACCGGGCTGGTCCAAAACGGGTACTCTTTTTTGAAACCAAACCACCTGCAGTGACCAGCGCGGGTGGAGCCACCAATGTGCGTATGCACATCGTTTCTTCACTTGCAGCTCTACTCTTACTCATCGTGTCACAGCCCGGGGCAAGTTTCACGCCCCGTGTGAGTGTCAATATCACGCTGACCGAACACGCATGTTGGTTGGGGGGGGGTAGATCCTCAGGCTCCGCATGGGAAGCCATATGTGTAAGTCGAACACGCATGTTGACTTATCTGCATCCCAGAGCCTGCACCATTGAGCAACACCAAAAAAGGGGGCTGATCGTTTTTCTGCATCAGTCACTTTTTTTCGTGCATGTATGTTTTAGGCTTGAAGCAGTGAACAGGTTTCAACCTGCCAGCACGGCATAGGCTTTCATGAAAGTTTCTCTCTCCGATGACATCATCCTTCTTCAGAGAACATGTTCTGGGACAGGACCCCGCAGAAATCTCGAGAAGACTTGTGTTACCTGGATTTATTTCTGACAAAACAATCATTGCCAAATGGAGGTTGGGGATCCTGGAAAGCGGTGATTTTTTTGTGATTATACACCGCAATCACTGGCAGCAATGGCTCTTTTTTTCCTCGGCTATTTGCTAAGTATGCTGCCCTAATTTGGCCTTGAAAGGTCGGGGGCTGTGCCACATCTAGCAAAATCGTGTTTTTTTGTTTCACTTTTTTCAACCGCAAAAAGGAACCCCCGAAAACAAACCACATGTTCCCGTGTTGGGGAGATGCTGAGGAACCAATTTCGTAGAAGGTTCCCTTGATTTTGATACCCCTGTGTCGAGCCACCCATTCCCGTGATACCCCAAAAAACCTTGACATGGTTGCTTCAGGTGTTTGCGCAACATCATTTTTGATGCCTGGCATTTACAGAATCTTTGAGCACGATCCCTGGTTATTACCCCTGTACCCCCTGTTGAAAACTTAAAGGGTGGTTGGGCCACCCCGTTCCTGTCAGTTTCACCTTGGTAGCGTCGCCATGCAAGATTACGATGTGGTGGTTTCGCTGCTCTTGCTGGGTGAAGCAGGCGTGGGCAAAAGCTGCATCATGCAGCGCTTTGCCCACGAGCCCTTCCGAGAAGGATACGTCCCCACCATTGGAATGGAGTTTATGGCCCCATGCTTGCCAAAGTACAGGGCCAAGGTCCAGATCCGGGATACCGCGGGCAACAGGCGATACCGAGTGGGCTTCGGGGCCTTTGGCGGCCTCTTCCGTGGAAGCCGTGGTGTGATCCTCATCTTCGACGTCAGTGACAGGGAGTCCTTCAACAATCTCAGGCACTTCATTCGGGATGTGGAAGACAACTCCCGTAAGGGCGAGCCTTTGATGCTGCTCATCTTGGGCAACAAGGCCGACCGTGCAGCGTTCCGCGTCGTGTCTGCGGAGGAGGCGCTTGCCTTCGCCGAGTCATGGAACTTGCGCTACCTGGAGACCAGCGCAAAGAACAACTGGAACATTCAGGAGGCGTTTGAGTACATGGTGGAGGAGGTGGTCTGGCGCCTGGGGGCTGCCGGCCACCGGTTTCAGCAGCTGCCAGGCCCGCGCACCTCGCGCAGGCGCTGCTGGTTGCTGGCCTGGCTGGCGTGGCTGAGCTCCCCGTGCCGCTGCTGAATTCGGAATTGTCCCAGCGCAGAGAGCGCGGCCCTTTCGCTTGTCGCGTCGTCTCGCCCGGCGAGCGCAAGAGCGCGGGTTGGGTGCCTCACCTGGCAAGCATTTGTAAGCTTTCTTGGAGCGAATCTGCGCAAGATCTCTGTGCAGGATGTGAGTTGGAGGATGCTTGCAAGGTGTTTGCGCAGGGTCTTGTTAAAGGACCATTTCAATGCAAGATGTGACTAGGAGATGCAGGCTCCAATCGCTGCGTGAAAGCAAGAGCGATTCGCAACCCAAAGATTTCGCAGGCCTCGCTTTTGATGTTCACATTTTTCATTGCACTAGTTCCCAAATGATTCCAGCGATACACCACACCCAAAGTTCGTTTGGAGAATTCAAGCTTTGCACCCGGCGCAGTCGAAGCGCAAGCGCCACGGTGAGCCTTGTCTATGACAAAGGCACAGACAAAATCCACTTTGGGGCCACAAAAGCAAGTCCATTTTGCCGCCGTGTTTGGCACTGCTGAGCCATCCCCACGAGTCTTGGCAGTTCTCCGCTCTTTGGTTGCTTCCGACTGCATGCCATGCCACTTTCGAGAATGCTGAAACGGAGCCAACTGCGAAGTAGCTTCTCCTCTTGCGCATGTGGGAATGCGGCAAGGTGCTAACAAGAGTTCAAGTGGTACAAAATCTCAAGAGCGGGGCAAACATCCTGCAATCCGTTTGGAGCTTATCATAAACCTTGCGGTACGGTTTGGTTTGTGCAGACTGTTGACATCCATGTCTCAGGCAAAAAAGGCATGGGTGAACCCCGGCTTTGGGGTCCTGTTTCAACATGGTCCAAACACTGAAACGTTTGACACCTTCCTTGATGCCAAGTCCTGGCAACATGTGGACACAGCTTCAAACAAAGAAGCAGCATGCCTGATTTAAGGCGTGAACATTCCAAGAGTCTGTGTGGGGGATGTCTTGGATTCGGGCTTGATTTGTTCAGGATTTCGCTGGGCGTGTTCGCTTCGAGGGTTTGTCTTGAGAAGTTGCAGTTGATGCGCCTTGAGTCGCGCAATACAGTTTGAGAAGCAAGGCAGCTAGAAATCCCGCAATGAACACGAATGCAAAGAGCAAGTGCAGTAAGGGTGCAAGCAGAACACGCAAGTCAGGTAGCAGCTTGGAATGCCTGTCGGAAAAAAAACAGCGTGTTTCTACGAAAGCAACCTCTTTAATTTGGTGTTTGTTTTGTTTTCTTTCCCAGATGGAACATTGTAAGCCTCTCTTTGCATTGCGGAAACAAATTGCCACGGATTATTTCGCGACACGTGACTGGAACTGCATGAATCAAGATTTGCATCCAATGAAGGAATTGAAGGCCGAGGCAGCCACCACGTGTCGCTTTGCGCATGCGGGTGTACTACCAGCACGCACCCAATGTATATTTCATTTCTTTCGGCGTTGAATGATTGTTCGTTGACCGGGCGAGATTATCACTTGTTGCAACACACCAGAAGAAGCAAAAACCACGGAACGCACATGCTGGATCAATTTGCCATGTATGTTGTTTTTTGGATTTGTGCCAATCTGACTGACTTGTCTGACAAATTCGTGTGTTGTTTGCTCGGCACGTTGCGGAGTTGACAGCCACTGAGTTTGGGAGGGTTGTAGTTGATCGACATTTTTCATGTTGTGCGCCGTGTGTATTTCTCCTTTGCATTTGTTACAACTCGCGACGATGAACATGCAGGCAATGTTTATGCTCGAGTCGCATCTTGTGGTTACGCGTTAGTGGCAAAACAACAAGCTCATTAGCGTGTAGCACTTGTCTCACTGAGTGGTATGAACAGATGCGCACACGACACCACTCTATTTGTGCATTATATATTAGAAGACTCATTTCTGCAATTCCTTGCAGACTTCCCCCCCATTCATTGTATCCGAAACGCATTGGATGAGATGGAACTTGCTGGATCACAGATGGAATGGAGGCTCATGCAGCATGTGTTGTGCACTGCATAATCTTGAAGCCCAGCGAACAACATGGGCATGCATGCTGTACCATGGCAATTGAAATTGCAGGCAGACCACCTGCGGAGTGATGTGCCGGAGCCTAGGACATTTGTTTTCCTGTGCCATTAGTGTGAGGCAGTTTGTTTATCATGAACTGCCTGCCTGCCAAGGTTTGATATGTCTTTCCTGCTTCTTTGCTTCCCCGATTTTGTTTTGTGCCTCCTCACCCCTTTTGCCTTGAGCCATTTTGTCTTGGTGCTGTCGATTCGCCATCATACTTTGTCGATGTTCTGTGGGTCACGTGTGTGTGTGTGTATATATATTTATATGAAGGGTTAACTCAGCAGGCTGCGTGGCGAGTCCTTACGTAGAGCTTGTCAGGTTGAAATCGCCACGGAAGGGCAAATATATTTCTCGCAGGCTGGATGTTTCGGAACTAGACGGATGACACCAATGCATTTGTTTCCAGCAATTATAAAGTTCTTGGTGCAAACGGTTTGGGCATGCGGTGCAGGCACTCAGCGGCAAATGTGCCAAATGTGCGGGGAGCTTGGTATGACAAAATCACCATTCCGGAGAATCTCAGCCATGCATTGTGAGCAGTTGTTCATCAAAGGTGATAGTATGCGGGCTTTTGCAGAAGATAAAGCTTCATGCTTGCGCAGCGCTATGCAATAAAACTGTTCAGATGGGGCTCCATCATTTCTTGAGCCACAGCCGTTTCACTTTTCATGTTCCCGAGGCCAGCCAAAGCTGAGGCCTTTCAAAATGGTTTGCTTCGGATGTCGCCTTTTCGAGCTGGCATTTTTTGAAGTCAGTTTGATTTTTGGAGCCACAGGACAACCACACTTTGTTTTTGCTTTGCTAGGGTCGGCGAACGTCGATCTCCGCGAGAAGAAGCTCGCTGGTGCACGGGAGGCCGCTACCCTGAAGGTAGTTCTTGGGATTGAACAGAACAAAGGAAGCAAAAGGAACAAAATGAAACAGAGGATTGACTAGAGGGAACAGAAGGAACAGAGTTTGAATAGGAGGCCTTTCTTTTCACCATGAAACAAGAGCCATGGCACTCTGATGGTTTGAGCCCATCCTGCCCTTCAATCCAGGCCCGCAGCGCCCGCGCCTCACTTTTTGCCAAAGGTTGGAATGACCAGAGCAGTGACAAGAGAAACAATGCTATGAGATGGTTCCCTCTTGATCTCTGGTTTCCTTTGCTTTGCAGAATGTGGGTGACTTGTTGCTGTAAGGTCAGGCAGACGAGCTTCGTTGAGCGACTCTGGCCCAGGCATCTTGAAAGGCGAGAACTCCTCACGTTCTTGTAAGTGCATTGCAAGAAACACATTTGCAGTCTCCGCGTTTCAGGCGTGTCTTCAGGGCGGCGACTCAGTGCAGATAATTCAGGACGACGACTGAGTACTGATGCGCACGGCACTCACTTGTTTGCCCGTCTATTCTTGTACACGTGCAATTTTTGTCAAAGCTTTCAGGTCGGCTCGCACGCGGCAAGGTTTGCGCAGGCAGAGTGCCTTTTGGATGGAAATCTGGGGCGAATCTGTCGCTAAGCGAAGGCCATCTGCCGTCTCTGTGGCCAACGTGCGGAGGGCGTCTTTGGGATCAGTGGGAGAGACCCTGCAGCAGGCCTGGCACGTTGAGGTTGGGTGTAAGTGGCATAGGGAGGGACGGTCCGAGATAAGCCGGGAGGCTCGCAGTGAGGCGCACAGGCTGGGACCGTAGCCTGAGACTGCGGAGCCTTGCTATGTAGTTTTGATAGGTACCTTTTCTCAACATGCCATTGTAGGTGCTTTTTTGTGGGGTTCTGTTCGCCTTTCCGCTTTGTTGCCGGCAACAAGCACACACCCAAGTCAAGGAGAGTCGTATTTAGCATGCCGAATCTGCCTTGCAGCTCTACAACGAAGGCTGTCGCAGTCGCATGTGTACGACACAGCCCGGCCCATAGCGATGCATGGAAGCTAGGCTCAAGCTTGTATCTTCCTGACAGAGGCCAAGAATGTTTTGCTGCCACCAGCGAAAGGTGCCCCGAGCCCAAGCTTGCTTGCAACTTTCTTGCAGACACCGCCTGCAGATGCCACGTCTCCGCGCAATCAAGTGAAAAGGGCTGTCCAAAGCTCAGATGCTTTTGAAGCAAGTCGTATTCCTAGGGTAGGTTGATGGCATCCACTTTTCGCTGAGCTCACTTTTTGATGCATCTAGATGAGTAGCAGAATGTCATCCAAGTCCACAACTCCGGTTCTTGTGCCGGAAATCGTGAGCCTGGCCCCCTCCGAGGCCTGCAAGAGAATGATAGACATGTGGGTCAAAATTAAACCACCAGGAATTGGACCGCAGATGTTAGTCCATGTTTCCTCTTACCAGGGCATTTTGGGGTTTCCCTATTTTTGACAACCACACGTGGATCCAAAAGTCTTGGCTTCGCTCACAGGAGCTTTGCGGCGTGCAAGTTCGTAAACCCAGCGACAAAGCCAAGGCGCCTGTTTGCAGCGCGGTTTTTGGAGTTTCTCACTTTTGTGCGGTCAGGCCGAAGAGTACGAGGGCCAGCATGCCGCTCCCAAGATGTCGGAGGTGCTTGGTAAGCCAGTGGCACTGGCTTGGTGGTTTGTGGTCAGAATGGCAAGCTGCTGAAGCAGACGCGCTTGTTCAGCCGGCTGTCGGACCAGGTGCAAGCCATGTCTTGGGTTTTGGGCCAATATTTTTTTGCGAGGCGCTCATTGACCTAGCGGACAATGGAGAGGATGGGTGGCCGGGATGCGGCTAAAATTGTCGCTTCCGGACCCCAGGAGCGCTTCCTGCGCTTTTCGGAAGTTCTCTACAGGGAAGGGGAGAAGCAGAACCAAGACTGGCGCGGCCCATAAGCCTTCGATCTTCTAGGGCGCTTCGCGCGTCATGTTTGCCGAAGGCTTGGCCTGGTCATCTCGGGAGCGCTGACGTACCAGATCGAGCATGCCCGGCCTGCTTGACAAGCCTGACCCGCGAGAGCGAGTCGAGCGCAAATTGCTTCAGACAAACGCTGCCGATTTGCAGGTCGCCGGACCGCGAGAAGGGCGATCCCCTGCCTATGCTTCAACCAGGCTCGGTTGCAGTTGGACAAAGTGAGTATGTTTGCTAGCGGCGCTGAGGCATGCTGTTTGGGGAGCTGGGCGCCTTAAATATTTGCCAGGCTCTTGCGCTCGTGCGTTTACGGATTGTAACATTGAAGCTAAAGCAAGGGGCACGCAGGATGCAAGGAAAGGCCGTGAGGTAAGGCGACAAATGTCCCGGGCTGTGCAGACAATTGAGTACGCTCTCAACAGACGTAGAGAGTTTCTTGTCAAGTTGGTTTGGACAAGAAACAAATTCCTCAACGCGTCGCGTCCTAGGAACACATGGTATATACAATATACTTCTGAAGTTGTGTATGCAATATGAGACATGCGCAAATGACTTGTCGCCCAAGGAGTGAAGACATTGCACTTGTTTGGTGCCGCTGCTTGAACACTTTAAGCAAAGACGTAATCAGCCAGGCGCGGACATCTACTGTGGCAGCTGACGTGGACTCGAAGGCACCTGCACGCAAGACAAGATGAGCCATCGGCCAAGGCAAATCATATTGAGGAGTCATTGAGGGGGGAGGGTGCAATTTGTAAGATAGCAATCAAAGTTGGGCGCCTGCTCTGCATACCTTTCGTTTGGTATGGGCATGTGTGTCAAAATAGGGGGATCCGAAAAATGGTGTTTCCGTGCGAAACCATGGACTGACGAAGTGGTCGAGAGGTGCTTGTCATCCGCTCGGAGAGCATCTGGCAGGCGCGGGAGTGCCTGCGTATGAAATTATGAGAGAGGAAGAAGTGTTACGTACATGCGTGCGTGTGTGTGTGTGTGTGTGTGTGTGTGTGTGTGTGTGTGTGTGCGTGTGTGTGTGTGTGTGCTTTTGGAGGCAACTGTTTTTGGGTTATCTTAACAGAAAGGGACCACTATTTTAAGGGAAAGCCAAAGAGAGAAGAACCACAAACGCTGTGGGTTGCTCATGCTTGCGACAAACCCACATGTACCGTTTCGGTAAAGCCAGGCAGTCAATGGTTCTCACGATGATGTAAAAAGCCGACTCCTCGGGGACATCAAGACAAGTTTGGTGCTGACTGCACTCACGGAATTCGAGGAATTTCGAATGAATGTGACTGCTGGCGCGCTTTCATGTCCTGTGAATTTGCGTCGAAGCCTCAGGTGTTTTTGGCTTGAGATTTGCGGAGGTAAAGGACGTTGGCTGGACAAAATGACAGCAACGTCTATTTACAACGCAGCAGGCATCATTGTGAATATATGTATATACATGTATATTCACATACACATACATACATACATGCACGCATGCATGCATACAGGCATGCATGCATACATACATGCAGACAACAAACACACACACACACACATACATGCATGCATACATACATACATACATACATACATACATACATACATACATACATACATACATACATACATACATACATACATACATACACACATACATACATACATACATACATACATACATACATACATACATACATACATACATACATACATACATACATACATACATACATACATACATACATACATACATACATACATACATACATACATACATACATACATACATACATACATACATAAAGCATGTATTGATTGCACATGTAACTTTGCCGATTCCGGTTCTTCAAGTTACATCCCGTCTTCGTTTCACTTAGGTCAATGTGCCACCCCGAAGTTGCGTGTCACGCTTAGTGTGTACTTTATGCATAAATAATTCAAGGTTTTTCAGCGGATCCATGTGTCAGGTATCAGCTCCGAGCGGCTGCGACCCTGCGGAAGGTGGTGCAGGGAGAGGAAAACGAGTCCAGGGTTCAGCTTGTGCATCCACTAAAAAGTGCATTCGTTGTTTCTCTTGCTGCTCTGGCTTTCCAATCCGCTTTTGCAGGAGCACGTTCTCGGAGTCAAAAACCAGCAGAGGCGCGCACACACACACACACACTGCCTGGGATTGAAATACTGGCTGGAACGCGTCTGTTAGTGTGAGGCAACTTTGGGCAGCAGCTGTCATTGAGCGAGGACAGGCATACGTGAAGGAGACCGACGAGGCGCAATCGAGTTTTTTCACGGATTCCTTTGTAGATAAATAACATATGCTTGTTCCTGGCAGGGAACACTTTCGTGAAGTTGGCATGAAGACACACAATGCTGGCTGGGCATGGCAGCACAACTCAGGTGATGAAGGGACCAGACACCATCAATGTGGTCGCCATGCTTGGCGTTCGCAGTTCTTGCACGGTGATGCCTGGGTCCCGGCGTCCCGGCTGCGTGGCTTTCTAACAGAATGCTCCCGGATCAAGGTCTCATGGTGACAAAGGTTGCCACATAGCAGTGCTGGACAGGAGCCGGTCATTGAATCCCATTTCGCAACATTGATACGTGTGAAAAGCATTGGTCAGGACAGCATTTTGGAATCTCATGCGGTATTTTCCGAAGGAACGAGAGGCCAGGAAGTTCACCAAGTTCACCCGATGCCTTGGAGCCATGCTTGGCCCAGGTATTCACCCGATGGACACTTCAGCGCGCTGAGCGAAGTTTTTGGTTTCAGCGAAGAAGAGCCCGGGTCGCTTGCGCCAGGCAGCTTCCTTCGGCAACCGCCGACATCTCCTCCGTCCCGCCCCTTGGCAAAAGCCGTTCCGCGGGGGGGAAATACAGGTTTGGGGTTTGGGAGCTCAGGATGCTGCAGTACTTGGAGGGGTCGCAGAGTTTCTTTCGAGCTCTTGCAGGTGCGCGGTCAGGGCGCTGTTGTCAACGTGTTTTGGGCCCGGTCTTCTGCGATTCCACCCAATGTGCATTGATAGCCATGCTGGGGATCCTAAGGCAAGTTGCGAAATGAAAATTGATCTGGCATTTGTGGGAGGGTACAAATTGGCTTTGTACTCACTTGAATATGTATACATAGTACACAGACGGATTCGCGCCAGGCAGCATTCGGCAGAGAGCGCAGGTCCCAGATGGATCACGTTCGCGGTGCCTTTGGGAGATGCAGTCATGCAATCAGAGTCAGGGATGGATCTAGGTGGTGCCGCCTGGATCGGTTGCCATGACCGCCAAGGACGGCACAGCTTTTGCTTTTCTGCGCTCCCTTGTTGGTAAGCTCGTTCCATGCCGGTGTCGGCAAAGATGGCATAAACGGCAGGATGTGTTCGAAATGCGCCGCGCCCAACAAGCTGCTTCATTTGATGTGCGCGATTGAAGCTTCGCATGTGGCGATGCTACCCTGAGGCTCGTGTTTCTCCAGCAGGGCTTGGCTGACATCCTTTTTCGAGGACATAAGGCGGCTTCAGATGACAGACGTGAATCAATGCAGATGCGTACAGGTCAGGGAGCTCTGCGCCGGGCAAAGTGTGGGCATCGGGCTTGGGCAAGTAGCATGCACGACAGGCTGAAGTTGGTCACCATCACACCCGGGTAATGAGGGATGGCAAGGAGCAGTCCCAGCCAGAAATTGGTGCAGCCACCCTTTTGGTTCTTTACATGGTTTTGGGGCCCCTTCAGTACCTGGCTTTGATGGTGACTGAACTCGAGCATGCCAGAACTGTTGCACAACGAGCCAGATGCCGTGCAGGGGAGCTGAACTTGCTGAGTATCCAAGCAATGGCCGGGATGACAGTTATGGCCACGGAATTCTGCGTGCTGCAGGAAGGGAGGTTTGTGTGTTGAAACAGATTCAGCCAACTGCTTGCAAGGAGCTCAAAAAGGCGGATGTGGAAAGCCATCTGGTCAAGTGACTCGCCGTTTGATGTTCAATCTTTGCGAGAGCTTGTTGGCAAAACGAGTTGTGTTTCCCAACGTGCATTCTTTTTTCAGGCATCCAGTTGCTCGGTCTCGGTGGCGAGAGCTGCTGAAGATCCGGAACGTGTGGAAGCAGGAGCATGGTTGATCCATTTCTATGACTAGGTGGAGCGTGGCATTTCGTAGAGTGCAGGAGGGAGCGATGGAGCGCCAGATCATTATGCTACGCGATTCGCCCTTTTTCGGGGATGAGGTGTCAGTGCCCCAAGAGATTCAGAGACTCGGAGTTTCTACCTGCCGCTGAAGGTCAGCTGACTTCATGCGGCTCGTGCATCAACAAATGGAGGAGAGGCGTGGCCGACCCACTCTCTAAGACGCTTGTGCAACAGGTGCGTTTGTTCTTCCCGGAGCAAAAGATTCAAAAGGAGGCCAGGCCAAAGAAGCCTGTTTTGTGGCGTGCGGACTTTTGACTCAGGATGATCCGGGTGACGTCATGTTTCTTTTTTGTGAAGGGCTAGTCGAATTGCAGCGGGCTTAGTCATGCCAATTGAACCTGACCATGGAAGTTGATGCTTTTAGTGGGCAATTTCTTTCACACGTTTTGGTCTTGCGTGTATAGGTGTAGTCTCGAGTCTGTTGCAAAAGGACTTTCAGTTCTCCAACAGCCAGTTTGCCTCATTTGCGACATGGCGGCCCGTGCTGGAATAACGCTGCTTGACACACAGTCTGAGCATTCCAAGTTTCCTCGTTAGAGGAATTGCCAGTGACACACACACACACACACACGTGGAGTTGTGAGTTGTGATGTGCCGGGTTGGGGTTTTCAAGCATGGAAGCAGATTCCAGGCGTTGCACCTGTGTTGCAGTGTGTCTCCTCGTCGGGCCCGCTGCCGGCAGGGCTTAGATCTCAGAAGCTGAGGCAAACTGCGGCTGGAGAGAAGTCCATGCTGGAAGCTGCGGCATCCCATGCCTGCTTGCCAGGCAGGAATCTCAAGATGCTAAGATCTCTGCCAGGCTGTTGTAGGCGAAGCTGGACTCATCTCAAATGTAGAAGGGCACTGAGCTCAATTGCTCGCACGTTTCATATTTTACAGGCTTCGTGCCTAGGCCACGAGACGTGCTCACCGCCAAGACGACTTGTGCGTTGATGGTTGAACACTTAGCAGACGTTTCAGCTTGTTTCCTCGCTTGTTTCTGACTGCGCCAAGGCGCTTCACCGAATGAACATGATCGATGCGCTGAAGAGATTCCCCGAGGCTGGCGGAGATCATTTGGCCGCTGCATGACGGGGGTCAGCCCGGCGGTGGCCCATGAGTTGGAGCAACTGAGGCCAAGCCTCACTTTGAGGCTGCTGCACGCAGGCCAGCTGTGAGACTGCCTGTCTAGACATTCGGCTGTGGGTCAAAACCAATGGTACCATTTTGGGGTAGATGCACCACCCATTTTAGTCTATTTTAGTGGGGATTGGGATGTTCACTGGGCGGCTATGGGCTTTTTGACCCATGGCCATTCCTGTGAGTGACAGGAGCAGAAAAGGGACCCACGAGGCAGCCAGCCTTTCGTTTCGTTGGGGATGTGAACCTTGTTCGTTGCTTCCCAGCCAGGAAGGCGAGCAATACTGGAATATCTACAGGATGTCGCTGGCTGAGTTCAAATAGCTGGTTCGCTGAGTTGGGCGGCTTCTTGATACGCATGTCACTTGGCAGACTGTATTTTTAGATGTCTGGGCACTCAGGAAAAACAGCTTGGTTATGCTATCTTGAGTCCAGTTGAGATGTGTCCAGCCAGCAAGTAAGTGACCACGCCAACATGTTGACCTATGGCGGCCAGCTACATTGATACAATTAATGAAGCAGTTGCTTTCCGGAGTTGGCTGAATCAGCCATGCCGTCGTGCACAACTTGCGCGTCCGCAGAATGAACATGCGAGTATGCTTTTCTCAGGTCCTGCTTTAAAGACTGTGGCAGCAGGCCGGTCAAGACGATTGATTCAATTGCTGTAGGTTTTGTTTTGTGTGCGGACTTCTACCTTGGGCAGACTGGTCATTGTCCAGGTTTCTGTACTTGGTGGATCTGCACTTGGAGCGGCACATCTTTTTCAGCTCCTGGGCAAATTCTTTCACACAGCTTTCGGTTGGCTGGTGTTTGGAAACGAAAGAAACACAGAGGGCGTGCTTCGCGTGCTTGCACGAGGCGACGAGATTGTGGTGACAGAAAACACGGAGGGCGAGGATTTGTCTGCAATCTACACACGAAAAGTCGACTGCGTGAGTTGGCAGGACATGTACATACTCTACAGTGGAGCCATGGATGTGAAGGCAACAAATCCTCTCAGAGTGCAAGTATTGAACGCCGAACGCCGAGGTCAAAGGTATCAAGGTTGGAAGCTTGGATGGAGGGCTGCTTGCTTAGCACAAATTCGTCGCCATTGCATCAAGCCTTTGGCAAGGCGAGCTTTTGCATGCAAGATTTGAGCCACAATCAAAACCTGGGTAGATGAAGGTTGGTAAGGGACAATCCCAGCCACTGGTAATTCTTTATTTGCTTCTGGGATTACGACCATGTTTTTTAAGAACGTTTTTTTTTTAATGCTTGAGGATGTTCTTCGGCGAGATGGCGGTTCTTGGCCTGGCAGGGGCTCAAGACTCTTGTGACATTTGCTGCTTGCTGCGGCTCTCCAACGCAGTGAATCTGTGCAGGTGAAGAAACGATCCGCCACAATTGTAGCCAAAAGTTTGTGCGATGTGCTGCGCTCAGATGTTGACAGAGCAACTTCTTCTTCTTAACAGTCTTCCTGTTCTGCTCCATGTTCAACCATTTCTTGCTGATTGTGTTTGCCTTTGCTGTTCGTTCGTGTCTTGGGTCTAGGCGGTCAGTTGTGCCGTCAAGTTCCTTGCAGCTACCACTGGCGAGGTGCGAATCCTTTCAAGAAAGTCTTTGGAGGAGGCCATCCATGAATTCCCCCAGGACTGGATACCCAAAATTGCCAGAGCAAAGCTCCGTAAAAAAGATCTCCATTTTGCAACCACCCATTTGAGTTACACGTGTTGCTTTTCTGAGCCCACCAAAAACAAAAATTAGTTGGACACCTCCATGTTGCAAGGCAGGATCCCAGGCTCGAAGTCCCATTCGTCGCAGGAGCTCGCAAGGTTTGAGGAGCTGGCCGTCATGAGCTCAAGGCACGGCACGGCCTCACGTCCAGATTCACTGGATCCTAAGGCCACACGAAACAGGTTGTCGCTGGAGCATCGAAATGGAGGTCGAGCCGCGCCCTATATCGAAGCTTCTTTTTCGCCGTGGCGCGAGCGCAGCGCAAAAGTGTGTGAGATGTATCTACATACACGTACGGATGGGTTCTCTAAGGTTCGTCACTTGTGCAGCTTCTTCCAAGATTGCAATGCGGAGTTTGCAACGGCGATCGCTGACGACATGCAGGACCGCACTCTCTTTCGTTTGGCCTCGCGCGCGATGAGGTGACACTTCGATGACACTCAAATGGCTATGAATTTTCAATTTGGGAGCCAACGGGTCACTCATTCAAATTCACACCCAGATTAAAATCGCCGGCGTCACAGATGATTGGCTATGTATTTTTGCTCTGCTGTAGAGCAAGCGTCACACACACGCACAACAGCAGAGGCACCCTCTGTGGCATCTTGTGGTGGGACTCTGCCACTTCCTTGGGTGCATTTGCCTGACACGTGTGTCGATCTCGTAGTTTTGCTCAAGTGTTTTTTTTTTCCCCGCAATTGAGACACCAGCGCGCCCTAACATCCATTTAATTGGGTGTGGCTCAAAATTAAGTAGGAGGGGTTACGCAGGTTTTTGTCCATATTTCCACTTACCAGGGCTTCATTTTGGTCTCGGTTTTGTGAGCCACATCCATTTCTGCAATGTTTGCGGTTCCTGGTTGGCAGCTTGCGCAGGAAGATTTCATCCAAGGCCATCTTTGCTCCCAGTCCTGCGACGGAATTGATGGGAGCAGTCCAGTCGGTCTGCACCGATCCCGCTGCCCTTGCCTCTTTCCCAGCTAGCCTGCTTCTAGGGCCTGTAATCGGTGTGATTGGCTCTGTCAAACACTCTGCGACTTTCCGTCTTCTCTGGCGTCACCATTCAGACTACTCCCATTCAATGTTATATAGTATATAGAATATTTGTTTTGCCCTTTTGCAGTGCTTGCAACTGCTATGGTTCCTCCTGCAAAGCAATGCTCACAGACGATAACATGAGTGCTTTGCATGCTTACTCTCTTTTAGTTTCATAAACACTGAAAAACTTAAGGAATCAGGTGCATGGCTCCTTTCCAGTCTTTGTCCAATGTTGCTATTCTTCCTAGGACAATCCCAACCAAAACAAGAGGTTCGCTCTCAATAGCAGCAAAAGACGCGATTGCATATGTTCCGGAAAGAGTGATACAGGAAACAGTGCTTACAAACAAGTAGTGTGGATGGGCAACACCCAATGTGCCGCAAGGACAGGCTCTTCACTGCCGGCCAGGCTTCCCTGCTGCATGTTGCGCTTGCAACTACTCACTTCCTGAGTTCATGAACTTCAAACTTTTTGGGAAAACAATTTTTAGTGGTAAGTATATTTTTTTGGACTTTTTTTCACTCAGCAAGTGAGACTCTCACGTCATGGAGTCATACCGCGTTCGGCTGGCGTTATGGCTTCGGTGTGCATTCATGATTCCTTAGGTGATTGTGAGGGAGGACAGCAATCACGAGTCCTTGGCCGACTCCTGAACCCGGCTTGTGTCATTGGCTAGTCTCGGCTCGGCGCGCCCAGTTCCTCATCCACCAGGGAGCTGCAGCAGTAACCTACCAGGGCCAAAAGGTGGCGTTTGGCGCCCAGGGCGAGAGTGGCCCACCGTTTTTCCCCGGCCAGGTGTCAGAACTGAAGTCCGGCGACGTTTGTGGTGAGTTGGCAGCAGCCTTATGTCCTTCACCGAATGACGTGAATGTGAATGCATTCGCAGAGGTTGCTATGGGGCTGTCACCAGTGCCAACCGCAACTGTGACTGCCACCGATACATGCTTTGTGCAGGTTGGGCAGACATGTTTCTCCATGCTTGTTTTGGCATTGGTTGCATGTCGATGCTGAGAGGAGCTGCCTAAGCGGTCGCTGAAAGCGGTCTTGGAGCGATATCCAGAACAAACCAAGCAATTGAGGCACGTACACACCACAATTACTTGGAGTTTTTCATATATGCAGTTTGCATTCTCAACTACAAGCTTGGACTCATTTGTAGGCAAATGGCTGCTGCTCGAATGGAGTGGAAGCCAGATCCCCAAAGGAACTGCATTTGTTTCCCACATGTTTGATGTGGATTCAGCTTCTTGGCCGGCATCCACTCGTGGAGTTAGGACAAGCCTAATATCTTCATGCTTCAGGCACTCGCTGAACGACCTGAATATCTTCGAGTGGTGAGGGGCCCGTGGATTTTTCTCACGTGGCTCGTGTCCTCCTCGTGCAGGGTGCAGAACGCTCCGCTTCCGGTGGCGCACCTCTTGGAGCAGTTGATGACCCGCTGGGCTGGGAGCTTTCGAGTCCCTTGAGTCGGGTGGGAGGTACACAGGAAGGTCTGAGGAATGCCGTGAGGAAAATGCCGTGAGGAAAATGCGTTCCGGGCATGGCTTCTGAGTTCTTCTTCTGTGGCGATGAGATGCTGGTGCAGGGAGCGGAGGGAGACAGCCTCTTCTTGAGCCCCCGGCCTGATTGGGAGGAATGTGAGTCCCACAGAAATGTGGCTGTGGTTGTCAAAACCAATGGGATCCCGTTTTGGGGTAGGTGAATTCACCACCCATTTTAGTCGAGATTTTAGTGGGGATTGGGATGTTCACTGGGGGGTACGATTTGGGTTTTGACCCATGGCCACATGTGTTCGCGTGTCTCTTCAGGATCTCCACGGGCTCGGTGGAAATTCTGCACAATGAGAAGGTGATTCGTGCATTAGGCTGCGCTCAGAGATTCGAAGTCATGAGGGGCAGCTTTGCATTGGTCCAAATCCTGGGGAGTGTCAGCCTGAGCACTTGAGCGCATCAGCATCTTGCGCGCTAGGAGCTGGTGACATGGTTGGAGAACTTGGCGCTTTAGGCACCAGCTTTAGAAGGGAACAGGGTTCCATAGAGGCGACTACCCGGTTGGTAGACTTAAACCCAGAGGTTCATCCCCAAACAGAGGAGCACTGGGTTTAAGTCTATTTTAGAGTAGTCAAACAGTGGAACCCTGAGAAGACATAATTTGTTTCTAGTTACACTTCTTTGAGCACGGCTGGCTAGGTGTCTGCTCTACTCGGACAACCACCGTGCGCTGCAAGGATGGTTCGCTGACATGCTCAAACGTAGACTCTTTCCGCTCAACCATCTGCAGGACATTTGCGATGTCTACATCTTGGCAAAGGCGCTTGTGACATGCTTCAGTAATTTTGACAGTGGTTTCTGAGAGGCTGCTCTACAACAAGTGTATTGGTCTTAGTGCCGCAGCATTCACGATGGCATTGCCCAAACTTGCATTCATGTTGCTGATGCAATTGGTGCTGAGGCTGGCTCTCTATCCAAGCGCGCAGGCAAGCTTACTGTAACAAAGACGCTGAGTCACTGTTGTGCCTATGTATCTTGCCAGGATCCCCTGCGGAAGCTGGCCACTGTCCGCATGCGCAGGTGGGGAACGACTCTGCCCTGATTTGGCCGCGATCTCTCTCGTTGCCAGTGATGTGGAACGGATGTCGGAGAAGCACGTGCTGCTCCACTGTCCACTCTTTCAACAGAGCAGCAGGCCCGGTTTTTCAATCTTGATCTTCACGGTTTCGAAACCAAAGCGCACATATTGTTTGGTTTCGAGGAAGTTCCTGGACAAGATCTCTGAGCACATGGAGGACGATTTTCCAATGGATGTCGGGGGTGGCCCCGGGCCTCGAGAATTTTGCTTGCAAGGACCGCCTCTTCATGGAAGGAGAGGACCGAATGAAACGGCTTTTTTTTGAAGAGGCATCCATGCAGATGGCACTCAAGAAATTGGAGGATCTCTGCAAAGAAGGCGAGAAGGGCGACACGATGTTCATCCTCGTGCAGGCTCCGAGCGCGCCGAAATGTATGGGCTTTTGGAAAAAGGCCAAGCGTCGGATGTAATCACCAGCGCTTCTATGAGCATTGGGCAGGGATTTCTTGATGATCCCTTCCTGGATGACAATCAACACACAAACAACACGTGGGATTGTCATCTTTCTCTCTGAAAACCAGATGGATGAGCGCCCCTTCATTTTGGGCTCCAAGCAAAGCAGTTCCAATCCGAAGCTCAAAGCTAGGAGCCACCAGTGGCAATTTGTCGCACTCATGATTTCAATCGGGTCGCTTACATGCCGCCAGGGAGTCCTGAATGTTTGCGTGCTAAAAGATGTCGCTGCCCTAGCCTTGCTTATTTCTCGAGAGCTTGTGTTTGACCGGTGGGTTTTTCTCAAGCTGCTCTTGAGTGGAACGCTCATCGCGAGGGACAGAACATCAAAGTGAATGAGCTCCACAAGGGCAGTGTGATCGGAGAAATTACCGTGACGGGCTCAGCTTTCCCCAGTTCATGGCAGCATCTTGGCGTCTTTTAGCCGTCCGGTTCGTTAGGTCGTGAGTTTGTTTTTCTTCTTTCGTTTTTTTTTTTTGCGTTGGTTTAGTGGTTGAGTGTCCGAGTTGAACCCACGAAGCGTTAAACTTTTGGCATCCGAAAGCGGACGGCCCAATGTGAGCCATGGGACCAACACGAGTGTGATGCCAAAGGTGCTCGGCTTGGCCAATCACCGGACTGCCACCCTGACAGCCCAGCAGGAAGGGCTGAGGAGGCGCCAAAAGCGCTTGGAAATACAGAGGGATTGGACAGGTGTGCCTGGTCCAAGTGCTGCACAGACCCATTCTGATGAAGTGAGCCGTTTTTTTCTTTTTGCTTCAATGAGTCCAGCCAAGTTTCTTGGCCTAGGTTCTATTGTTCTTTGATAGGTACCTCAATGAGTTCCCTCGCGAGATCGTGACCTTTCAGGAGGCGCTTGCAGTTTGCTCCCATTTGGGCGTGGCTCAAAATTAAACCCCTCCGGGGCAATCCGCGGGTTTTGGGTTCCCATGTTTCCACTTGCCGATCGGGCGCTTGCCACGTTGGAGTTCCGGGTTTTTGAGCAGCGATGTCACCGGGCCGTGCGGAAACTTTCTGAGGTGGGAGCCTCACGGCTGGCGAAAAGCGGCGTGAGCAAAAGCACCCTGTTCCCGCAGCAGGCGAGACCGGAAAAGCCGAGCCGAGGTAGCCAGAAACGCCGGAGGGGAGGGTCTTTAAAGATGGGTGGGTGGCTCGTCTTTGTTTGATGGTACCTTTTGTTCGGATGGTGTTTAAAAGGAAACCACCGTTTTTGGGGGACCCACCCCCGATGCCGGCAAGGTGCTTTTCAAGGATTGCAGCCCGCCTTTCCTTGACGCATTGTGTGGGCGGCCTAGCTTCCTGCATGTACATGTCACACAGTTCTGGAGCAACCGGCTGACGTGCTGCAACGATCAAGCTTTTCGCTACAGGCAAACAGCTGCAACGGAAGATTTGCTTTCCTGGACAAGTCATTGTGGAAGAGGGCACAGAGAGCCAGGACGCTTGCATAGGAGGGAAGCAGCAACGTGTGGCTTGATGACTACTGTGGGTGGACGAAATCCACTTCGCACCACTTTGAAACCATAGCAAACCATTGTTTGTTGGTATTTACAGGGGAAGGATCACCACAGGGTATTTTAGGTGGTGCAGGATTTCGTCCATCCAGAAAATTGCCAAACAACTAGTCATGCTTTTCACCCACCGAGGAAATGTATGCCATTGCACAGGGTGAGGCATCTGTGCCCTGGCTGCAAGACAAGACACCGCATTTCTTGGAATGAACCGCAGTACTATGGATGCGTGTGTATGGTTGAAACCGCTCCGGAGCAAGCCACCCCCTAGGTCCGTATGTCTTTGATGGTGTTTGTAGGACACCAAGAGGAACAATTCACCATTTCAGGGGCAGAGACTGACCCCAGAAAAGGGGCAACCATTTTAGTGGGTAGAGGAACAGGCCCTAAAGGAAAGACACCACCATTTTAGTCGGGGTCCCCTCAAAAACCAGGCACAACCCAGAACCCCTACAACATGACACCCCCCACTCTCGTTCGGGTCCCCCAACAAAAATATGACACCGACCCGGTGGTACCATTTTGGGGTAGGTGCACCACCCATTTTAGTCTACTTTAGTGGGGATTGGGATGTTCACTGGGGGTACGATTTTGATTTGAAGCCATGGCCAGAAATGTCATTTTTACCTTCTGGCCATTAGGACAACCAGCTCTTGAAGATACTCAAGCTCTTGAAACCGCTGATTTGTGTATGCCTTTCAATGGCCAGGTGGAGAAGGGCGGCCAACGTCTCGGAGAGATCCAGCAAGGCTTCGCCTTCGGCGAGATGGCGGTGCTGCGGCTCACCTCGGGCCAGCCGGTGACCATCAAGGCGCGGAACCGCCGGGGGTTGGACCGACTTGGTGCATGTCTCAAAATGGGTTGGTTTGAAGGGAGACAAGTTGTGCATCGTTCAACATGGGTTGGCTTAAAGGGAAACCCACAGCGAGAATGTGCTTCGTGTTTTTTTTGTGCATGCCTCAAAATGGGTTGTTTGAACGGGAGACCAAAAGGACAACCACAGCGAGAATGTGCTTCATGCTTTTTGGTGCATACCTCAAAATGGGTTGGTTGAACGGGAGACCAAATGGACAACCACAGCGAGATTGTGCTTCATGCTTTTTTGCGCATCCCTCAAATTGGGTTGATTGAAAGGGAGAGCAAAAGGACAACCACAGCGAGAAGGTGCTTCATGTTTGTTTTTTGTGCATCCCTCAAATGGGTTGGTTGAACGGGAGACCGAAAAGACAATCACAGCGAGAATGTGCTTCATGCTCTTTTGTGCATCCCTCAAAATGGGTTGATTAAAAGGGAGAGCAAAAGGACAACCACAGCGAGAAGGTGCTTCATGTTTGTTTTTTGTGCATCCCTCAAAATGGGTTGTTTGAACGGGAGACCAAAAGGACAACCACAGCGAGAATGTGCCTCATGTTTGTTTTTTGTGCATCCTTCAAAATGGGTTGTTTGAACAGGAGACCAAAAGGACAACCACAGCGAGAATGTACTTCATGCTTTTTTGCGCATCCCTCAAAATGGGTTGGTTGAACGGGAGACCAAATGGACAACCACAGCGAGAAGGTGCTTCATTGTTTTTTTTTGTGCATCCCTCAAAATGGGTTGGTTGAAAGGGAGACAAAAAGGACAACCACAGCGAGAAGGTGCTTCATGTTTGTTTTTTGTGCATCCCTCAAATGGGTTGGTTGAACGGGAGACCAAATGGACAACCACAGCGAGATTGTGCTTCATGGTTTTGTAGTGCATCCCTCAAAATGGGTTGGTTGAAAGGGAGACAAAAAGGACAACCACAGCGAGAATGTGCTTCATGTTTGTTTGTGCATCCCTCAAAATGGGCTGTTTGAACGGGAGACCAAATGGACAACCACAGCGAGAATGTGCTTCATGTTTTTTTGTGCATCCCTCAAAATGGGTTGGTTGAAAGTGAGACAAAGAGGACAACCACAGCTTCAGTGCTTCATGTTTTTGTGTGCATGCCTCATGGGTTGGTTTAAAGGGAGACCAAAAGGAAAGCCACATTTTGTTGTTTGGTATTTTGAGACAAACGCAAGTCAATCCGCTAGATGCTTATCGAGTTTTCTTTTCAATAGCGGTGCCCCGCTATGGAGTGCGGAGTGGATGGATACTCCCACATTCTGAACAACCCAGGAATAGAGGTTGAGGGCCCGCAGTGAAATATCTTGTATGTGTCTCCAAGCAAGCAAGTTGACCAATGCCAAAAAAGCCAACGGCCACGCGAAGGCGGAGAGAATGTGTGACTTGCAATACTTGAACTGCTACGCACCTTGGTCATGCATAGATTGTGGGACAGATTCCTTCACAAAAGAAGCGCCATGACATGAGAGCAAGCATGTTGGCAGACATTCATGATAGACAAGATTGTATGTGCTTCGCCTTAGGATCTGGAAACCCTGTTGGAGAGCTACCCACGAGAGAGGGAGCTCCTTCCTTAGCTTTTCAGATGCAGGGCATCTTCTCATTTGTCCTTAGACGAGGCGTTTGCTGAAAGTCGTTGCGTTCATGATGAGAGAGGACCTCTGGGTTTGCGCAGCCTCTTCGTCGCAGCGCTTGCATGGCTAAGTCGCAGCAATGCCTTTGGCAGGAGCTTGCGGAAGTGACCGATGAAGAGGTTCTGGGAGAAGTTCCACTCCTCGCATGCATGGGGGAAGGCTTCATCAAGCGGTTGGCGGCACATTTGCAGGCCTGGATGATTCTATTGTGCCGGTGACAAGACATGGCAATTGTCAGACGTATGTGTCAAAGGCCAATTTTCACCCCTCTTTCATTCGGCCAGGTGAGCGTCGTCAGGAAGGCGTCTAGAAAAATATCTACCGTGAGTCAGGGCAAGCTGCGCGTGTCACGTGGCAGGGAGAGCTTATCAAAGGCAAGAAGGAGGAGCTCTTCTTAGTGCTGCTCCAAGGCCAGAACGTGAGCCTTGAGCGGCGAGTCGCAAGCGACTTCGCATTCTACATGCCGCCAAAAGCGGCCCCCCCCCATTTTTTCAGCTCGTTCGTTTTGGTGACAGCCGCATGGTTGCAAGCAGCGCATCCCGGCGCCAAGTTGATTCATGTCGGTGCATCAGGCAAAGCTTGCGTGCAGATCGATGGTATCACTCTCCGCGAGATGTGCGAAGGTGGCTGAACTGAGCTGAGCTGCTTGGGTGCGTCTGCTGTTCCAGGTGAGAGCTATGGCGAGGCCTCGGCATTGGGCCTTGTCCCATGTGGCGACAGTGCAGAAGTCAGAGCTGCCCGGATCTTATGCATTGCTAGGCAACGCCACTTTGTTTGGTAGCAGCGATTTGGACAGTCAATGTGCTCCAGAGGTTGAATCTGGAACGGCAAGCTGGGTTTGTTAATCGAAGTTGCTGGTTTGTCAATGTGCTCCACCAGAGGTTGACACTGTTCAGGTTGGTTGAAAGTCAGGCAGTTCGCCTCCCTTTCGCTTCTGTTACTAGCTTCCCGGGCAAGACAAAGACAGGCAAAGACAGGCAAAGACAGGCAAAGACAAGGCAAAGACAAGGCAAAGACAAGGCAAAGGCAGAGAGAGACAGAGAGAGACAGAGAGAGACAGAGAGAGAGAGAGAGAGAGAGAGCCTATCTTCACAAACAGGGCAACATCCCATGTTGTGAAGCACTGAGGCGTTTCCTATTCCACGTGCATCGTAAGTGCAAACGACAAGAGCGCAAAAGCGGTCCCCCATTGCTGCTTTCAATCCTGTTGTTGCACAGCTCTTCTGGTGGAATTCGACCTATGTCCGCTTTGCACACGCTTGCGCTGGACATCTTGCTGCTGCAACCCAACCCATCTCAACCAGACCAAAATCAAGGATTCTCGCACCAGCATCTTCCAAGGTCAGCACCCAAGCAATTCACGCAGCGACCAAACGACCTGCCTCACCAAACAGCACCTTTCAACCCAGCCACACAGCAACCATCCGCAGATGCAACTTTTGGCTGTGTGACAAAGTCAAAGAATGCTGCCTTGTGCATCCCCTTGCCTACGAAGAAGTGTGCCTGGTCAGCGGTGCCTTGTCACCTTGGCGTTCTTAACGTGTTCAGGAGGAAAGCGCAGTTGGATTTCGTTTGCTACGCCAGCCGTCGCAGCAGCAAGGTCTCAAGATGTTGCACGCCACAAAATGACAAGAATAAAATGAAGTAGCTGAGAGGGTTACTTGGTGCCGCGTCAGCGGCGGAAGGCTCTAAAATGGGTCTTGGAATTGCAACATGCGGCTGGTCCACATTGACAAACAGACCCGCAGCAGCTTTGCTCAGAAATGTTCGTGTGCTCGTTCATGAGTGCTTTACGTATCCTTGCCTTTGGTGCGCTGGGTCGGTTCAGATGCGTGAGCCGGGATCTGACGAGTGGTTGCTGATCACTGGTGATTCGATTGCTAGCGGCGGGGGGCTCTGCAGCTGTGGAGGCCAGGCCCAAAGCTCGTGGCTCACATTTCGCCACCTTGTGCTGGGTGGCGGATCTTGTGGGGGCTCTGCCAATTCCAAAGTCTCCAGGACCCGTTCGGTTTGGGCACTGGCCTTGCTCGGCCCCCGCTGTCGCGGCGTGCTCCAGCCAGCTTGCAAAGGGCGGCGGCGCCGGCGTTGATGATCCCCGGCTGGGTCCATCAAGGGAATCCTTTTCTGGTTTCCCTCGGCTTTACTTCAGATTCCAGCAAGCGAAAAAGGAGAGCGGTTGCACAAATGGGTGATCGTACGCAACATAGCCTTGAATGCTCAACCCGCAGCTTTGGATTGGCAAGCTGTGGAAGTCGTCTAGTCAGGCCTCGCCTATTACGTCCCTATTCTTGCAAGGCGCGGTAGTACGAAGTATGGGAGATCAACACGATGACGCTGCTAAGAACGCACTTTGGAGCAATCCAGAGCCCCATTCGCTTTTGGCGGACGTCGAAAGACAAGGATTCTGGAAGGCGTCCATCGACCAGATAGCAGCGCGTGGAACCTGATAAATTACTGGGGATACAAGTGGACACATGCGCCAACACTGCGCCGTGTGTCCCAAAAACACACACACACACACACCAAACTAACAACAGCTCAAGCATCGCAATGCCGGGGGTGCTTTTGAGCAACCCTTTTGAGAATTGGCCTAGACGAAGTGCCAAGTGCGGCGGCAAAAGCAAGAACACGTTGGAACAAAAATCACCGTAGGCCACGAAGGCCTTCAGCTTTGACCAGGGTCCTGGAGAGAGGCATCCTTTCCAGACACAAGATAACCCCTCCACACGCTAGCGTCGGATCTCAAAGATGTGAACTGCAGATCACGCGCAAAGATGTTTGTCACTCATGACCAGAATAAGGCGGCAGGATCTGTGAGCCTCTACTTGTGGGTTCCCAAGGCAGGGGAGGGTAGGCAAGTGCGTCAATAGAAGCAACACCTACCTCAGGAAGCAGTGCAGCGTGCCCTTCATGAAGGTGCTTGACGCTTGACCTTGCCAAGTTTTCTGAATTCAAGACTTGAGCTGAATGGACCATTGCAGATATGGGTGACATGCCACGACATTCGAAAGGCACATTGTTCGCCTGAAAGGCGCCCATGTGCGGGACAAGCTGAGAGGCCAGGCTCCTCAGAAAAACTCAGAGACACTGTTAATCTCAGGGTTTGGGTTGCGCGCAGGCACGGTTGTGGTACCTCCAGGAATCCACAAATCAGTGGTCGCCTCGGGCACTTGTCGTTGTTTGGAGCCACTCACTGCCCCTGGCGCAAAAACGATCTAAGCATGGGGAGTAGAATGGGATGTCAGTGCCGAATGCCTTGCACTAGGCTTTGGCAAGCAGCGCTCTCAAGCACATGAAATTCTCCGAGGCGGAATGACCCATTCATCATGTTGTGGCAGATTTGTCCTATGGTTGTTGACGATGCAGGACCAGATTCACCAGTTGCTGGCACGGTTGGCTCAGTAGACTGACAGCCATACTGCTGTGTACTGAATTGCTTGCCATAGGTGCGAGGAGTGCTTCTGCATGGCCGACAAGGACGAAACACGCTTTCAGGGCTGGCACTTCACCATGGTTTGGTCGTGTCGAATGGACATGGGGCATAACCTATGGCTCCATTTTGGGTGGATGAACATCGATTTACCAGCTTTTTTGATGTTCAGGGGTACAGGGTTTTGACCCACAGCCAAGTATGTCCCACGCAATGTCAGCTCATTGTGTTGAACCGCGCCCTTGCATATATGCCACTGCGACAGCTTGCTTCGAGCAGGAGATGCTGTCCATTCGGCAAAGCATCAAGCAGATGCTTTTTATGCTGTCAGGCAGGGAAAGTGTAAACTGCACAAAGTCAAACCATCTTCCCGTGGCAAAGGTAAAGCAAGCTATCAAAAAGGCCGAAAGCTCAGATAGCTTAGGCTTCCCTGGTAGCTAGAAATTGAGACAGCTGCTTGCACTTGGACCATGCTACACCAAGGTGAAGAAAAGCTCAATCTCGTGTCGAAGCCTTGGAGACATGGCTTGTACCAGCATACCGATTGCCTGAAGAGGCCTGGAGGTTCCTTGGTGCATTTGTGCCGCACTCAGAAGTAGCAACCTGAAATCTGTTTAGCATTCCGAGATGACTGATTATGCACGGTTGCGAATGCTGTTCAACGAAACTTGTGATGCTTGATAAAATGGCACTTGCATTCTTGGCTTAGGAGCAAAAGCACACCAAGCCTTCGTAGCCCAGTGAGCCTGGCCCGAGTTTGAGACTTTTTAAGCGCCTGTTTGTGAGACATGCATACATGGCGATGTGTTGGGTTGCATCCCGTTGCATTGCATTGAATTGCATTGCATCGCATTCCATAAGGGTACATGACTGCATTACATTATGTTGCGTTGCTACATGACGTTACATTGCACTACATTGCACTACATTGCGTGATATGGCATTCACACATATATGTGCGCTTCGATCAGCCTTGCCAAGCTGCTGGAATGTCAGGTGATTGCAACTACCAACTGCAAGGCGCTTGCGCTGTAGAGCTTCGGCATTTTCCCGTTGACATCAGCTTGACCTCCTGTGGGCCTTTCTGTTCATGCACCTGATCAGTACCTCCTTCTGAACAAGCGCGTGTTCCTGGAATTCATCAAGGCGCAACCTGAACAGGAGACTGCATCAATGCACGGCTCAATCTGTTTACCCGGACATGTCAGGAAGCTGTTAAGTTTCACATGTCGTGTGCTTTTGCTCAAGGGTGTGTAGTAGCGCTCGCATCGTGCAATGGGGGCAGATGACGACACAAGGCAGGGGTGTTTGATGATTTCCTGCTTGTCAGAGCGTGAAGAGCTCGACGGCAGGGCTCGCGATGACGGTGAAGCAAAGCTCTTCATTGGACAGTTGCATGGCCGCAGAACCGTGCTTCCTTGCTCCAAAACCGCTCCGAGCTTTGGAGGTTAGCTTTTGAAGCAGAAGAAGGCGGGCTGGGGAAGTTTGATTTCACCATGACGGAAGCTTCCCAGGTGACGTGCAGGAGAAGTTTGGACGATATGGGGAGATTGTGAGTGTCCGCGCCTGAATCCTTCAGCTCTCGAATTCAGAGTGCACTGGTGATGCACTCCAGTGTGTAATGCTGTTGCTGTGTGTTTCTCAGCGTTCAGGGTTCAGTGCTGCTTGCGTTGAGCGGACGTGCATTTTTTGGCATCACACCTTGAAGCGCTTTAGGTTCAAATCATCAAGGACAACTCGACAGGAAAGTCGCGTGGTTACGGTGCCTTGAATGAGATGATGAAAGATGCACACCAAGTGCTCTTCGTTTCTTTCAAGGGTCGGCACTGCCAGAGTGTAGATTCACCCTGAGGCTTCATCAAATTTGCAGACCCTGCTGACGCAGAGAAGGTTTTGAGGACCATGGATGGTGCTGAAATTTGTGGCCGGAAATGCACCTTGTTTTGACTACGCCTGGGTGTGTGAAGCGCGGAAAGCAGAGAGTGCTTGTCGAACCGCAGAGTCTGTTTCATGGTCCTGGGAAGTGGCCCAGGCAAGCTAGATCGCGCCGGGGGCCGGGCACGCGCGCCGTCCGGTCACTCAGTGAGGGCAATTCATTCGGAGAGAGTCAGAGAGAATTGATGCAGATGGCCACTGCACAGGACCAGACATGATCGGGATGACCGCCGTGCTCCTGCACGGCGAGACGGAGGGACGCTTGTTGACACAGAAGCCGAATTCTTGCCCTATGCGTCACGGTTGAACTAGGAAGAAGCATAAACGAAAGTGTTCGCGCTTTCGGTGTTGCCAAGTGAAGCAAAGGAAACCGCTGGAGCCGGAGAAGTTGTTCATTGGCAAGCGACTTGCACGCAATTGGGCAAACACCAAGTTGGGCGACGAGCTGTGAGAGCGCGAGAAGTCCGAGACGCACAGCTCTTGAGCAGTATCCCAGGCTCAGCTTGGATGCCTCCGAGGATGGGCAGCTCGCTCCTGCGCGATGAAATCCGCGTCTCGTGCCAGGATGAGATCCGCGATGCCTTCAGAAGAGCCGGGGACGTGCGCGTCCAGATCATCCGGGAGCGCGACACCGGGGAGTCCCGGGGCTTTGGCTTCGTCACCTTCCAAGATGCGGCGAGAGCTGCGGAGGCACTCGCGACAGAAAGCTTGCAGAAAGCGACAGGGGGGTGCCAGTGCATGTTCTCCCGGCCTACGTGCAGAGAGCAATCTCACTTGCGGAGATGAGCACCTGGGATGTGCCGCTTCTTGCACTCAAATTGGGCTGGACATGGGGGTCAACGCAAAAACCAACCAACATGTCCCACGTGGTTTTGGGGAAACATGTAATATTGTCCGGGGCTCATGTGTTTCGCCTTTGGCGGTTCGCTCACATTTTTCACCATACGACCTGTGAGGCCTTTGGCATTGAATGTTAAGCGCTTTCCAGCTGTCAGCGGTGCCGTGCTGGCCAATGCTGGCCGTTGGACTTTTGACTCTTGCAAGCAGCCCTTGGAAGCTCGTGCTTCGCGCGTTTGCTTAGCCAGGCTCACCAAAACATAATGTAATACATCAGGTCAAGCATGTGAGATACGTTATTCGTTGTTCAGTAAACTAGTTGAAGCACCACCCCTGACCAGGCCCTTCGGACTCTGCAAGGAACAGAGATCGCTGGACAAGCTTGCAGACTTGAGCGTCCCGGGCAGAAGTCTGGCCCAGGAGGAGGCGGCGGAGGAGGGGGAAGGCTGGAATTGACCAAGTATGTGGTTTGCATATGTTAAAATGCTGATCAAGCTGAGCTTGGATTTGGTGTTGCGCAGTTTCACACCTCAGGCAATCTTACTCTCCTCGACGAGACCGACCCCGCAACAGCCGATCGCGGCCCCTTGATCATATCGCGTTTTGATAGCGCTTTTGGTTTGATTATGTCCAGTTACTTGATTTGCCGTGCTTTTCGATCTTGCTTGATGAGCTCAGCAGATCAGGTCAAGAGGGCGAGGTCCAGACCGTCACGACTGGGACGGTGACAGGAGGCGTGTTTGTAGGGTCGCCCAAGGCAATGTCGGTCCATCATTTTGGTCGACAAATCCTCCCCAAAACACTCCCGGCTGAAAAGTTGCGAGCTGCAGACACAAGCTTTGCGAGCAGCGGGAGAGACAGCAAGCAGCTCGCATATGAAGTATTGCTGGTGAGTTGACATTATTCGAAACTTTGGAGCTTTGCGATCGCAACTACCTCAAGCACTTGCTCGTATACAGTGGGAGATCGAGTACACTGTCTTTCGACCAACCCCTATGACCAGAGGCAAGCTGGCGGGAGCGAGCTGAGAAAGGAAAGGGACGGTTCATCTCTTCATGCCATGGAGACGCGGCCGAACCCTTTGGTACCCTAAACGAGACAAACAAATGAGAAGACAATTGAGAACGAACTAAAAGAAAATAGACATTCTTTTAACCATATAGTTTCTTGATTACTTTATTGTTGTCTCAGGCTGGTCAACAAATTGCTTCATGTATTGAGAGGGAGAGTGGGCCTACTTGCTAGGCGTCTTTACATTTCCAGTTGAAGCTGAATGTCAAAAAGAGATTGCAGGAGGCTATTGATGTCCGACTCTCTAGCTTGCACATTCTTCAGGTTCTTCCGTCGCGATTTGCACGTGCAAAGACTGCCGAGCTTGAGAAATGGACGCTGGGAGCGAACTTTCGATGTCAGCCTGGCATAAGACGCGCCCTGTGCGTGACCCTGGGACTCGGTCTACGCGTCTACGCGTCTGGAACATCCACGTTGCAACCGCGCAGCTCTTTGTGTCCTCTGCTTCGATTTGGTCTTGTGAATCAAACCAAACCTGTTAAAGATGTACATTCCACAAACAGCAGGGCGGTTGAGTAAGCATGGACGCTTAGCACAGACCCGGTTTGACATTCAGTGGATATCATTTGTTTATGTGGGACATTGTCAGACCTAAAGCCCCCGAATCGGTCTCCATTTCTGCCAGACTTGGCGGTGGAATCAGGCAGCCGAGACGTGAGCGGGAAGTCTGGGATGAACCTCGTGAGCGCCGGCGTGGTGCGCTACTGAGACCCGTCGATGGCTTGCTGGTTCTCAGGGAATGCGTTGGAATGACCCCCCCCCCTCCCCCCGAGAAAGAAAAAAAGGAGAGGCAGAAAACCCATCCAGCTGGCGGATTCCTTTCGGCATCTTCCAAAACGGCCCCTTCCATGTCTCATGTCCCGGCGCTCGCCTTGGAGCCGCGAGGCCGCGAGAGAGGCGAGAGGCCTGAGGAGCGGGATCGAGAGCGCGCGGAGCGAGAGCGCCGCTCTCGCCGGGAACGCGAGCACCGAGATCGGGCTGAGAGGGGCAGAAGAATAGAAGCCGAGCAAGACGAGAGCAGCCTGGCAAGGGAAGGCCAGACTTTTGGGGCATATTTTGGTTGGTGTCTGTCGGTGTCTGTTTTTGTACATATGGGCCATATGGGTGTGTTTTTTGAGGGTGAAACCCTTGTGCGTGGAGCCATTTTTTGGGTCGCCTAAAAAAGAAACATCCATTTGAATATATATATATATATATATATCTACACACTCGCAGAATGTCTATACGTATGCATGTAGGCATTCATTTCTGGCAAAGCCCACTCCGCACACCCAGGTGATTCTCGTGACTCGCGCGTCGAGCGTGAAGACCACCGCGAGCGCCGGTCTCGCACACCTGCGGATGGTTTACCTCGGCTGCCTGACTTGCAGTCCATCTTTTTCAGACATCCGCAGCATAAGTGGCCATGGGTCAAAATCCAAGTTGTACCCCCAGTGAACATCCCCATCCCCACTAAAATAGATTCTAAAATGGGTGGTGCACCTACCCCAAAATGGTACCATTGGTTTTGACCCACAGCCAAGTAGCTTAAAGACAGGCGGCATTCTCAGGATAGGTGGCTTTGTTGTTTTGTCAGGAAGAGCGAAGCGATCAGTGCAGCGCGAAGTGCCTATGAGGAGGGGGATGTCTAGTTCAAGCAGCTGCTTAGCCAAAATGCTTGTATGATCCTGTTGCCCTTAGGATGCGTATCATCGCGTGCATATGGCTCGGTCAGAGGCAGATGCCGCCGAGGCTGTGGTGCCACAGTTAGACCGTTTGGGCATCGCAGTGTTACGTGTTTCGTGCGAGGCCGCGCTGAAGAAGATGGAGAAGGCAGCTGCCCATGCAGTGGACCGCAAGGTGGGCATTTGTGAAGTGTTTACGCCCAGAGCCTCAACCTTGACCTTGAGGTTGCCGAGGACACTGACCGCATCAAGCAGGATTTGGGGGACAAGCTGAGCCGCAGCCTCACCGCCGTGAGACGAGTGGCACTGTGCCACGTGTGGTCAAAATTAAACCACCAGGAATTGGACCCCAGGTTGCAGTCCATGTTTCCATCGGGCAAGCCATTTTGGGGTTTCCCTATTTTTGACACCCACAGCCAAGTGTGTAACTTGCGGCCCCCTGGCGGCGAGGCGACCTGAGAGCGGCGGCAAAGAACGCCTTGGCTTTGATCCTGGATACCGCCGAGCTCAAGTTGCGGGAGGAGCTGCAAGAGAAGATCGCTCAGCTCCGGAAGGACTCGTTTTGTTTTTTGGGCGCTGGAACCCACAAATCGGATTTGACTTGCTGCGCTGGAACCAACAAATGGGATCTGGAACCCACAAATCGGAGTCTTTGGATTGTTTTTGGTGGGGAAGGACGCTCCCTTTGCGCTGGAACCCACAAATCGGATTTTTGCGCTGGAACCCACAAATCGGAGTCTTTGGATTGTTTCTGGTAGGGAGGGACTCGCTCCCTTGCGCTGGAATCCACAAATCGGATTTTTGCGCTGGAACCCACAAATCAGAGTCTTTGGATTGTTTTTCGCTCCCGTTGCGCTGGAACCCACAAATCGGAGTCTTTGGATTGTTTTGTTAGGACTACGACCTCAAGGCCTGGCAGCTAGGAGCAAGTGGTGCAGCTTGCTCGTTGAGCTTGCGAAGGTTGAAGATGAACATGCGAGACTTCGCAGAGTTCATGAGGAGGAGGAAGAAGACGTAGAGAGCAAGGCGAGGCAGAATCGAGTGGCACTATCCAATATGTTTTTTTGAGGCAGATGATGTTTTTGGAGCGTCCACGCTTCCTGCCTTCCCGTTTGTCAATCAGATAATCAGGAGCAGGAGAGGGCCGAGGTGAAGATCGAGGCAGCGCTTTTCCGTCAGAACCTGACCCGAGCTTTTGCTCTCGCAGGAGCTGCGCAGAAAAGCAGAAGAGGAGGAGAGCCCTTGGGAGTGGAAGGACGCCCACGAGAAGGCGGACAGCGAAAAGGGAACGCTTCAGCCCGCGGATGTTTCCGCCAAGTGACCCGCGGTTTGACAGGCGATTGAAGCTCTTCAAAAGGAGGAGGAGCGGCAGAGAGAGCTTGGGATTGAGCCCCAGATCTGGCCGTGCAGGAGAAATTTCAATCTGCGAAGAGGCGGTTAGAGTCTCTCACCGGACAGCCGGTGAAGGACATTTTGTGAAGAGCGGCCCTTTGAGTCATGTCACCCAAGCGGGCTATCCGTCAGAATCTTATGCATTCGGCTTCACACGTAGGAGCCCCGGTCTCGTTCCACACGTTCCGTATTGCCCAGAGACGAAAAGCGGAAGCGGGTGCCGCCGCAGGTGCGCAGTGCGATAGAAAAGAGCTGCTCAACTCGCTGCCCGCACCGTTTGATGCAGGCTCGCATTCGAGATTAAGACAGTCTGACGACCTCAAGGCAAGCCGCAAGAGAAGCATGCATGCGCAGTCTGCAAATCCCTTGAAGGTCTCCAGACTTCCAGCCCTGGAAGCAGAAAAGGGGCGTCCGTTCGCTTGACGGGATGCGGGATGCTTGACGGGAGCCAGTGAACACAGACAGACGCAGAGCATTGGACCTTTGTCTTGACTGAGCCAACGCAGGAGCGTCAGCGCCTTCTCCAGCGCTTGGAGTCTATGCCTGGCCAGGTTGGGTGTGCACGATCCGGTTGCAACTTCACGCCTGAGACAAGCGGTTTCCTTTGCATCTCGCAGTCAGCCGAACGCAGAGGTGGCCCGTGAGGAGTAAACAAATAGCCGCACTTCGGGCAGTTGCATCAACACAAGCAGACAAGGCTCACCCTCATCGTCACGGTAAGACATGTCTCCCGAAGATGAAGTGCTAGTCGCGTCTGCGCCCATGGCCCTTCACAATGAGCAGACCCGCTTCGCCCAATGTGGTTCTGGGCATGGCTGGCCTTGCCGGCAGTTGCATTTCGAGGTGACCCAAGCTGCTGGATCGGGTCCATCAACTACCAGTTCTGCTGCCCACCTGGTGGAAATCCGCAGTGCTGGGATGCGACCTACTCCTACGAGCGCTGCTGCCTGGGCCACGGCAGGCAGACGGTGGATATCAACGCGGTGGCAGAGATCTCCGAACTGGGCGGCTGTGAGCTAAACATTTTCCAGGAGTTCAAGGTGCGTGCAGGCAGTCTGAGAGATGCACCAGCCCTCCAACATGTTATTTTTCTGTCATGAAGCTGCCTCACTCAGCAAATTCTCTCCCGTGCAGGTGCCTGGTATCGCAACAGCACCCCGAACCTTGTTCTGTTCCAGGAGTTTGGCTACATCGCCCGTCGATTTGACACCATGTACAGGAGGGGGTCATTGACTGTAAATTCTGGGTGTCTTTGAGTTTTGGCAGGAGTTGCGCACCCGCTGCCCGGGCCCTACAACCGGATGTGTCAAACCTAATCTGTGTGCAACGTCAGGCGCTCACCTCCTTGCTCATGAAGCTTGAGTCCATCTACTTTGAGGAGGATACTCGGACGTTTGCTCAAGAAAAAAAGACCCACCAACTTGCATGTGGCTGTGGGTCGAAAACAG